CAGTTCATATGTTAGGCCCATATACTTTATTCTAGTTACTGGCCAAGCCAATTCACCTGTACATTGAGTCATCTTTTGATCTTGTTAATCATTTGCTTATTAACCTTGAGTACTTTTTATATGAGCGCATATGTGTACACTTCGTATCTTATTCATCATATGTCTGTCACTCATTTTTGCCTGCCTATAAATGTTAGTTAACGCTTGCTTAAAATGAGTTGGCTTCCCAGCCATCTCCAATACGCATCATCTTTGCTTCGCTTGCTTACAGTTGCTCATGTGCTTACAACTTTCTGGTCTGCATCGATTATCAATAAAAATGTAGTTGCCGCTTCCCTTTGCCTTCTTATATTATACACCGTTAAGATTGGTATTAATAACGGTTATCGAAGCGAACTATGATCGAAGCACGGCACTACAACTTAAGCTCTAGACCGCTGAATGGGCATCTGACGGTGTTAATGACTAAATTCAGTCCATGAACTTGCGCAACCATTCATTCATTATCTTGAGTCACGGCTTCTCATTAGAATACCAGGAAATCCATCTTGAAGCTAGTCACTAGTGAGCAAATTATTATTACCAGAATTGGGATTTGTGGAGATTATAGTGATTTTAATAGTTGAATGCATTAGTCTATCTAAGCTCAGTCAGTTGATCTCATCCAAAATGACTTCTGTGATTATGTATTGATTCATTATATAGACAGAATAACACTTTTAATAATAATAATACTTTTAAAAGTGATTAAGTTAGTACTTAAGCTGTCCGAGATAAAGATATCATACAGGATAATTATAAAGTCGATTTCTATTCATCATTTAAATTCTAAAACACAGCAAACCTAATGACATCAAGTATTAACCATGTCCAGTTATGGTAAATGATTTACCTAAGAAAATGTAAAACTTTTTAAACTCAAATAGGTGATTATTCATCAGATAGTGGTTTTTTTATTAGAAAATTACAAAATAATGATTACTGTTCCTGTCAAATTGAAAATAATTTCCAATAAAAACAGATGTAATCAGTAAGCAAAGATGGATAGTGGCTAGCAGTGGAATCCAGGACGCACGTTTCGTTCTATTTGGGACTCGTCAGCTGGATGTACCTGCATCTCAGAGTTGATGTTCACTCTGGGACTCGAACCCAGCACCTTTCACTTCAATCAGTGATCGAAACTATAGTGCTAACTTACTGTCTAAATGCAATAGGCTAGATAATATTTGAAAAGAAACATATTCACATTTCAATATAGTGAGAATTCCCATTTTGACATTTGATAAATAAAAATAAAGGAACGAATCGATTAGTCTTTCATCATGGCTCTACACTAAGATATATATATATATATATATATATATATATATATATATATATATATATATATATATATATATATATATATATATATATATATATATATATATATATATATATATATATATATATATGATTTACAATAATGAAATAACACTCTTCGAGTAGATACGTTACGTAATGATTATATAATGACATCGATTATGAACTAACATTAATCAGTTGGAAGAGAAGGATTAATACTAATCAATGTTATTATTTGAAAATTAAGCTGTTGCTACGTTGCATAATATATAAAAAAGGAGAAGAAAGAACCAACAAAATATTTTGATAAATGGTCAGTAATATAGTAGTTATGTAAGAATCAAGAGACGAATGTAGAGAATAAGTAAAAATACAAAAATACAAAAATGGAAGGAATGAAATAATTGTTTACCAAAGTTCTGCTACAAACTCCGCTATACCGATGGCCAAGGTAGCGAGAGCGGTTGTACAAACTTCTTTTGGATAAAAAGGTTCGGTTTGTGAATATGGATTGCGATGGCTTCGGCTATGTTCAAGAGACAAGCTCGTAAACCATGTGGCGATTTGATCGAATATGGTAGATAACCTTAAAAGCTTTATTCAGTTCAACTTGGTGACCTGTGTCCACCAAGTGAGCGATAATAGAACTCTTAATCACTTTTACCTGTCCTTTGTTCAACCATGACGGTTGGTATTCTGTTATTCGTTGACGAACTTGTCGAATTGTACACCCTATATATCTGGCTCCACAGGAGCAGTTGAATTGGCAAGTACAGATAGATGTGGCGAATTTAGACAATCTGTCTTTAACCGTTCTTATTGTGAGGCGGTTGTAGAAGACGGCACTCAGTCTGGCTGCATTAAATGTTTTCTGTACTGCCTTTCTTAACCTTTTTGTCACGATTTCTTCCGTAGCATCATTTAAGAATTGTAACTTTCAGAACAATACCTTCTTCGGAACGGTAGGTATCCTTGTCCTTCTTTTCGTCTCCTTTATGTGTTTGTCGATGAATTACATTGGGTATCCATTCCTATTAAGCGAGTGGCGAATATTAACCAATTCATCTAAAATAATGTCATCCGAGCAAATCAACCTAGCACGATGAGTTAGGATCTTTATCAAGTTTCTTTCGTATTTGATTGGTACGGCTTTATAGAAATGAGTGTATTGTCCAACTGTAGACTTTCTATGTAACCCTCTTTTCAATGTTCTATCTACTTTTCTAGTTAGTTGGACATCTAGAAACGATATATTATCATTCTGTTCTTCCTCTTTTGTAAAAGTAATTGATGGGTGGATGTTATTAAATATATTATGTTCTCCTTTTTATTTTATTTTTCTAATACTATGAAAGTATCATCTATGTAGCGACAATAAGATTTTAGATGGCTAATTGTGTCTTTAAGTGGACCATTTTCTAGTTTTGTCAGAAAAATGTCTGTCAGCAGAGGGTCCAGTGGTGACCCCATGGCTCGATTCGTTCCTTTTTTTCTATATTTACATTTGTATTTAATATTCCGTTGTTAAGTGTATTATTCTAAAAAACTAGGATAATTCTGTCATAGAGGTGATGTGAAAACATTTTCATAAATAGTGTTAATATCAAAGATACTCACAAGTAAACAACTGGTAGACCATTTCACTACCCAAATCTATCTTTGAGCATCTCTTAACTTGAAAGTGAGATCGTTTCATTAATTCAATTTTGTGAGTTGTAAACACTTACCTTCATCAAAGATTTCAATCTATCCTCTAATCTTTTATTATGTTCATGATTTTTATCAATCTCACTAGGCCATATTACTCTGGAAATTTTCAATAACTCTACACTCTCCAATTACATATTCCAATAAATATCATTTACCTGTAATACAAATAGAGAATGGATTGAAAGTAAGTAATGAATATAACTCAACCAATGGACATTTAGGATGCTATGAATAACTTCAGTCTTGAGAACTGATTATAATTTATCATATAAATATGAAATAGTAGGCAATTAATAGACTAGTGAATTTTTCATATAATATAGTAGTGATTCGAAAATCAATTAAGGATTGTGTTATTATTACTATTATTATTAGCTTTATTCAATATTATATTTTTGGTACAATATAGAATTCTCAGCACAAGTTTCCGTTTCTTACTTCTTGATCGATCTGGACGATAGATATTGGATGGTCGTCAGTTAGAAGTTAGCAGTCCAGTCAATCGACATCTAAATAATGTACATTCTTTTCGCTGCATTTTGCTTGCCAGTAACAACGATATCTCTGACTGGGCCTTTGTAACTTGTACAACGAAAATTTGTACACTTTTCAGAAATGCACCTGAATAGGTTATGCGATTAATAGCCATAATGATGTATTAAAACAAACAAAATTAGATAACTTGTTGAGATATCTAGAGGGCAGGAACAGGTAGCCCAGATTTTCAAGAAGGACGCCTTTTATAGAGAAAATTTATTGTTTCTACTCATTCTTTTACATTAGAAATAAGTCATCTGGTGAAATATTGTTTGAAACATTTATTTTAATCTGTTTATTATATACCATAATTATTATCTTAAGGACATATTGATCGTTTACATTGACTCCCTGTCACCAATCCACATAGAAAATCAAATGACTGGCATATTTTTCTTCCAAAACTCCCCTTTCCTAAAACACTGGGCGGAGGTGGAAAGTAATTTTCGAATAATGGTTTAAATGTTTGGTTACCTCAGTTTGCTTTAAAAAAAGTCATTCTTACTAGACTTGTCCAATTTCAGTCAAACTTACAGCCCGGGAAGTTTTTTATGTCCACTAGCCTAGATTCACTCCTAAATCACATATATGTATTTGTATGGGTGTACGATTGATTCTTACTCTATTTTTCTATGGTCTAGATTGGAATTGGTGGAAAATTTAGGCTTACTACTGTAGGTAACTAACAATCAGAAAAATGTTAATTTGGAAGTTAGATACATCTATTATATTTCTCTCCCTTTATCCTCTTGCTATTCAGACAACCAACCAAAAATATCTACCAATTTTCTACTCGTTGCCACTTTTTGTTTGCCCATTATGGTGTCTGTCACTATTTACCTCTTCCATATTTGTCTTCAACGGACTTAATTTTTCTTTCAATACTCACTCTGTAATATGTTCACATTTCGCCTCATATATATTTTCTAGCCTTTGAAAACTCCAGGAAAACCCAATGGTTAAATAAGATAGAATATGTGACCTCACAAATGCATTCACATACATATATATTTGCCGAAAAGATGAATCTATTAAAAGCTAACTTCATATTTTTAAACATAGTTAAAATGAAGACTGGTTGTTGAGCCAGCTTTATGTATTATTATGCATACATATGGGGTTTGAGTAAATCATTAATAAATCAGGTTATACATGTTTCCCCCCATCACAATCGAGTCCAAAATAGATGTCCAGATTAGTGAGCAGATGTGTACCAACATGAATATGGTATTAAGGCTGAGATAAACTGGTGGTGTGGTGGAAAATAAATGAAAAGAAGTTTAAATTATCTGCCTGAGTTTTGGTGCTTCTGAATAATTTAATATTTCCAGTGATGAAGGGTAGGAAAACTAATTGCAAAAGGGGTGTAAATAAATGTTTTATTTCTCTATAATATTTTCTCAAATAAATGAACACCAGTTTTAAATAAATATATCATCACTTGTTCATTAATTAATCGGATAATTTGGAATAGATTCTATAGTTAAAGATTTGTGAGTTATTTTTTATTCGGGTGTTTTTAATTTTGATATGCAAGTAATGAAATTTAGGTGTTGATCGTATTTCCTAATAGTTCACATGTTGAAATGATATTGGCTAGACAAACGTTGAAAACATTGGGGCACAGGACAGCTGCTTCGTCACAGTGTGAGAGTCCTCACTAATGATCATCCATTAACCCATCAGGGATTGAATCTGGGATCTGAGATCTTGCTGACAAGCGCTTAGCCTTCAAACTACTAAGCTGGTATTGAATGGTTTACATACTTGACTTCGGTTAAGTTGTGATATTACATGACTATCTTCGATTACTCTCGGTGAGTAATTGCCATACATCCATCATGATTGAAATACACTGACCATGATTTCTCCTCAAAGGTAAATGGCTATTACTATAGACCAAAGTTCTCTGGTCAGATCTTTATCAGGGTCGTGGATACTCACTGGTAAGGAGTTTATACTGAGATGAAACATCTGTTCGGTACTTCCTAGTTTTATTCGTTAGTAGAAGAAACTTTATGACAAGTGGTTTCGAACAAGTAGTTTTCATTTATCACTGTAGGTCAATTTAATGTTATTGTATGAGTAGTTCACCTATTTAAATGAAATATTTTAATATTGACTCTAAAATTATCTTACATAATCTTTCATACTAAATGTAGTGAATATCGATTACATAATAGACGGGATAATGAATATACTTTTACCATATGAAAACTTTATACATTATATAACCATTTAGTATTGAAATTTGTTAGTAATTTCTAATGAATACTACTTATTTTCAAAGAAATCTATTCCCAGATATTTTGGAACAATATTAAAATCAATTTCATCTTAGAGTAAATTATGGTAATTTTGCATTACAATATGTGTGTAGTAATAGATTCAAGAAATTAAAACGTTTTGTAGTGAACAAGAACACGAGTGGGGACAATCAAATGTATTTAGGCACACGATTACAGAATATCTCAGTAAAATATAAGAACCATATAGTGAGTAGTTAATTTGCAAACTATCAATGAATTGTCTCAAATTTGACCGTCCCTTCTGCAAATATCATTCCATCGTCTCCGATTATTATTGTTCATGCATTTTTATACCATTTACGTTTCGTTTTGTTCTTTTCTTATCAATCTTCTACTGAAATACATTCAATGCCTGACCATCGTTACATAATACTTATGTGGATATAAGTAACCCACACCACAGTATTCCAAGTTAACAGTGATTAGAAATAAATGTGAAATATGTGATTACATACTTTGAGATGAACAAATGTGAGTACTATTTTGACACTTGAAATATCCTTATAAAAACCTAGGATTTACATAGTAACTATATTAATTGAACTGATAATTAGTTTAAAGCGTGAGTCAATTGAAGCTAGACCACCATGGAAAACCTGGAAACATTGCTGAGGAGTCCCATAATAGGACGAAACGGCCGTCCAGTGTTTCCAGGTTTTCCATGGTGGTCTAGCTTCAATTGACTCACACTTTTAACTATGATAAATACTAAATCTCCACAAAACCCCTTCTGATAATTAGTTTACCAACATTTTTGAGTCCCAGAGTGAACATCAACTCTGAGATGCAGGTACATCCAGCTAACGAGTCCCAAATAGGGCGAAACGCGCGTCCTGGATTCCACTGCTAGCCACTATCCATCTTCGCTTACAATGCTTGTGAATTAAGGCTATATCGATGCAATACACACAGTATGCACATATGCCAATAAGAGACTGACCAGTTACAGTCCTAACACATTGATGGGAAGATTCAAACAAACAATACTAAATATATTTTTGAAGTTACTTAACAAAATTAACGGGATAGCTTGATTATTGTTGTGTTAGTCTGGCTACTTTGTATAAATAATGTTTATTACATTTAATTAAGAAATTAAAAAATTCCTTACTATCTAGATAAATCTTGGTAATTTACAAGAATGCCAACAACTTGTGGATTTCCTAATTGTCGATTTCGTTCACGATATCGTGGTGCTGAAGATAATCGACATTTTTATCGTGTACCAAAGAAACCTGCAATATTACGAAAGAAATGGCTAGAAGCAATAGGTAGAACTGAGGAAACAATTGTTAGCCAGGTTAGTTTTTAAATTGGTTGATTTTTTCTGGTTGGGAAGTGATGTGTTAGTTTAATTTCTTTATTAGAAATAAGTCTAGTCACAGTCATCTTGACAAAAGGAGCATAATACTAATGAAATCATTGCAGACGTAATGTGCGTTGAATTTTAGTCCTTAAATATTACTATACACTTCTCATAATGATCAATAAAAATGATCGATATAAATAATTATTAGAGTGATTTCTGGGGGTTTTATACATTAGAAGGGTATTTTACTTGTGAACTTATACCAGCTGGAGTATTATTGAACACTATGAAGCAAACGGTCGTTGCTTTGTCCCGATATATAACTTTTTATTAGTGCACATTGTGAACTAAAAATATGAAGAATCTTTTAGTATCTCAGAAAGTGTGGTCCGGTTATTTGTATAGACAGTAGCTAATAAGATTGAAAAATTGTCTATAAGTGTTGATTTCAGTCAATGTTAAGTGAGTAAGATTAATTTATCACTGGATTTACTTGCTTTCAATAATCAGTAACTATTAATGTTTCATATTTATTGATAATTTGCATTATTCATTTAGCTACGAGTATGCAGTGGTCATTTTTACGGTGGAGAAAAACATGAGGGTGATGTTCCGGTTGCTGATCCAGCAGTTGATGAACCAATAAGAGTTGAACTACCTCCTAAAATCTCACGTTTTCCGTCAACAGTGAATAAAAGAAACAGTTATGGTACTCGAGGTGGTGGTGGTGTTGGTCGAGGAAGAGGACCACATCACACTCAAGGAATTAGAAATAAGATGTGTTTTTTAAAATCAGGAATGCTCAATTATATGACAAAACATAATAATTCTTTAAATTTGTTGGGATCATTTAAACCAAAGCATACATTGGCATCCAATTCAACACAGTCATCTCCAACCCTAAGAAACGATCATAAAATTCGAGCTAATAAGCCAATACACTTAAATGCAACTAATATCATTAACAGTAATAATGATTCTAATAATCCATTGATGTGGTTTAATAATTTATATTCCCCTTATATTTATGATTATCTAAAAACAATCTCATTAAATACTTCTACATCATCATTATCTGAATTAAATACAAACAAAAAATATTTATATGATCCAAGAAAACATTTTAATTCAACTTCTATTAGTAAAGATCAATCTATTCTACAGAATTATTCCCATCAATCACCTCAACAAATCAACTATCCAATAGATAAATATACATCATTAATTCATACTTCACGATGTTATACACCTCTCACTTCAACAACTATCGGTTTAACAAATCTAATTCAAAATGATGATAGTATACCAAAAAAGTCCAGCAGTTCACCTTTCAATAATAATAATAATAATGGTAACATTAATAGTATAAATAATATAATTAATGATAATAAACCACAATCTGCATTCTCGTCGGTAACAAGTACTTTTAATAATAATACTAATAATAATATAAGTAAGGATTTCATTAATAATAATGATTATGTAATGAAATCTTCTTTTCTATCAAATAAAGAACAATTTTCATTGAATATTACAACAGATAATATAAATAAAAATAAATTTCAATCTACAATGTCAATACCATTTACAACAAATCAATCAACTAATTATTATTTATCCTTAGCAACAATAATGAATGATGTTTTAACAAAAAAATTAATGGATACTTATTTAAATTCATTTAAATATCCAAGTCATTTAAAAGATGATCAAAGTCATTTAAAAGATGATCAAAGTCATTTAAAAGATGAATATAATTCATTGAATATAATGAATTCTATAAATGAATTTAATGAAATTAAAGATTTATCTATTAAATCTGAATATATTAAAGAATATAGTAATATAATGAAATTTTATACTAAAAAAAGTAATGAATTCAATCGTTTAAATGATTATGAACAGAATACTATGGAAACTATAGATGATATGATGAAAAATAATGATAATTATATGAAAATGAATAATTGTGATCAGTTTGAACAACAAAATGAAATTGTACATTGTAATTTATTACAATTAAAAGGTTTGTTATCATTTATAACTTTCATTGTTTTACTGATTATAATTTAGTAATAAATAAATAATTCAGAGGGGGTTTCGTGGAGAATTTAGTATTTTCACAGTTGAAATCATGAGTCAATTGAAGCTAGACCACCATCGAAAACCTGGAAGCATTGAACGGCCGTTTCGTCATATTATGGGACTCCTCAGCAGTGCGCATCCACGAACCCACTCTCGCGAGCGAGATTCGAACCCAGGACCTACCAGTCTCGAGCCGAAGCCTTTAACCGATAGACCACTGAGCTGGCATCCAACGGTGTTAATGTCTAATTTCAACCAATCCACGATATTGAGCGACCGTTCACCAATTGTCTTCAGTGAGATGATATCTCTACAACAGACCTGGTAGAAGTTAGACATTAACACCGTTGGATGCCAGCTCAGTGGTCTATCGGTTAAAGGCTTCGGCTCGAGACTGGTAGGTCCTGGGTTCGAATCTCGCTCGCGAGAGTGGGTTCGTGGATGCGCACTGCTGAGGATTCCCATAATAGGACGAAACGGCCGTCCAGTGCTTCCAGGTTTTCGGTGGTGGTCTAGTTTCAATTGACTCACGCTTTCAACTATAAAGTTAATTAATTAACTAGTTTATTAATTACAGAGTAATTTACAAATACATTTTCTAAAGAATATGATTGGTTAATTGTATTGACTTCTTTTCGAATAAAAAGAATACTCTTTATTATGTGTAGGCGTGTAATTAGAGAAGTAAGTTTTGTATATTATTGTAACTAAATAAATGAATATGGAATCTAAGTAGCTTTGGCCAAATAATAATAATGATAATAATAACGTTTTAGAATTCTTTACGAACAATGGATGTAAGATAACTATTCAAAATAATTCCCAATATTTTATTCGAAACTTTAGGATAATATAAGCCAGTGTACTAATCAAAAATGAATGAAGAATGAATTATACGTATCGTTTTGTATTTTTTACAATTATAGTATAATATGTTTAATTATGAAATATAATTCAGTTTTATTTACATTTGTAAGACTTTATTTCTTTCCGCCTATGTAGATGTTAAGACCTGAAATTGATTAATCTCTGTTTGTATATAGATACGTTCTGAGTAGAGTAATTAGGTGGGGTTTTGTTCTCTGAGCTGGATGATTTCGTCATAGAGACATCATCGTCCTTCTGAACGTTATCATCAGAACAAACTTTAGGTAGAAGTGAAGTGTTCGAATTCTTCCACATATGACTCGCAGCTTGTCCTGTTGAACTCGATCTTGATTACTTTGATTTTATCATTTAGTTACAAGTTTCTATGATAGTTGGATATTGCAAAACAGTGGAATCAAGAAAGCATGTTTCACCCAATTTTAGATTCGCTAGCTTGACCCTTCTTCGCCTATGTCAACGTTCACGTTGGGACTTGAACTCACAACCTTTCGTTTTTGGACTCAGTAGCTCACTGGATGATGTGTTAATCATCACAAGTTAAGGGTACTAGTTTTGATTCTTGGTGTGATTGATAACACTAAATAGAAGCTGTCTAGTTTAAGATGGGAAGAGACGCGTCTCTTAAATTCCACCACTTGACAAAATCTAACTTCAACAGAAACATTTCATGCACTCATGATCATTATTATTGTTGTTATTATTTCGTCTGCATTGTTTTTCAACCATTGAAAGGTATTTTCATTTACAGAGACGCTAATAAAGTTCGTAGTAGAAATCGGAAAATCTCTAAAAACTGGCCATCAATCTACATGTTGTTTTAATGAAAATGATCGGTTCGGTGTTAGTTTTCATTATGATTTACATAATAAGTTTCATCATACTAGTTCAATTCTCCAAGAGTATTATTCATATTTTAGATAAAATTCAAAGTTAACTAAAGTTATTTCATGAATCATTTAGCAGTATTAGCATAAAGCATCTTTATCTCAACAATTTGAATATCAGAAGTAATAATCTTTTAAATAATTTATGTAAATTGGAAAAATCTTAAAATGAAGCCGTTAGTAACGAATTTACAGAACACAACAACTATCTATCACTAATGGATGGTGGCTGGTATTGCAATGAAGCACTGACGTTCCGTTCTATGCAGGACTCGTCAGCTGGATATATCTGCATCGCAGAGTGAACACCAACTCTGAGATTCAGGTAAATTCATCTGATGATTCCCACATGGGGCGAAACGTGCGTCATGGATTCCAATGCCAGCCACTATCCACCTTTACTTATAAGGCTTGTGAGTTAAGATAATATCAACGCCATACGCACAGAATGTACATATGCCAATAAAAGACTGAACAACTGCAGTCCCAAACATCGATCGGCAGATTCAAACAACAACACAAAATGAATTTGTCTATCACTGATATTATTTATTTTTAAACAATAAATAAGATTTAGCTGAGATCACATATTAATCTGAAATAATGACTGTAAAGGAAGGAAAAAGGAGAAATCCTTACTTGAAAAACAGCTTTAAAACTAGCATCTTCCAAGAAATAAATACAAACAGTTTAAAGTACTAGGCTATAAGATTCGTATATAGTTCAGGATTTAAAGATATTTCGGTCACTGTATGTTGTATCAAGTTTTCATATAAATGAGACATGATAATTCCAGTTTACAATTCAGTATAAACTAGATAAATTATCATAAATTTTTGTTAGATTCCAAATCAGTCGATATAAAATAGGGGAGATTTTCTACTACTACTAAGTATCTCTTATCAGGAATAAGCATTAAATCATTGATTTTGACAGCAAAAAATGAATAAATATTTAGATTTCTTCATTTAAGTAACTTATGAGATGACACATAACGTTTCACTTTATTAAATATGTGATAAAACGTGGATGAGGTTGTAAATTTTTTGGATATGAGTCCATTTCTTTGTCTTATCAAATCTCTAAGAGAAAATCAAGTACATAATGATCACAGTAATATTTTGTAAATAGATTCAATCTAGTCAGTAATTTAGAGCTACAGCTTTTATTCAATGAACCGCAGTCACTTTAAATCAGGCATACTGTGCCTCATTATCAAGTAATTTGAACCAATGGTTACATTATAACACGATCGATAAAGTTTATTCAGCATTGATGATCAGACAAGATGACACTGTTTACTAGTAGGTAATTAGTCAGCGGTATGAAGATTTGTCATAACATCAGTTCAGTGTATATACAGCCTCGGTATTTAATAAAACATTAATACAATTAATTTTAACTCTTCATTTACTACTCTTCGTTTTAGTTAATACTAAGTACATATAGATTGTAATTTAACGAATGTGTTATTAATATGAATGTTTACTTTTCTTTGGTATTCTTTTTAAAGAGCAAAGATCAAATCAACCAGAAGATATTCCTTCATTAAATCAAATAGTTCAATATGTGATTTTTATTGGTATTGATGAGTTAACAGTTGAAATGCCGATTCTTCACGATCTAATTAATCCGTTATGTGTTCAGTATTCAGATATAAAGAATCTTCCTGAACATGTAAGTATACAGTTTAATTATTTTTCTACATCGTAATACATGATTAAGTATTATCATTAATTATCCTTTTAAATTAAGATAGAATTCTATTATATTTAATAAAATGAAGAGTATCATAGTAAATATAGATAGTGTTATTACCAATTTACTGATCGAATAACTGAAAAAAAATCATTGGAAATTATTATTTATCATAGGATGACATTAAGTGTATGTAACTATTGACCACATTCGACAATAAACGTCTATTTCTTTTTGTCAGAAGAAGGGTTTCCATGGTGGTCTAGCTTTAATTGACTCATGAACTCAACTAATAAAATAGTTCTGTTTAGTTTAAAACTTTTCACAGTGTTTACTTCAACTCAATATTATATCTGAACTATACGTTGTAGGTGTCGTTATATAATACTTAAGATTTACATGCTAGGAAAAAATAACTGTCTAGTTCGTACTGGGCTTTATTGGTCCTCTAGATGATGTTAGTCCATGAAGAAGATAAATTTCAAGCTAGTCCAGTGATACTAATCAAAATCTGTGAAGAAACAATAACATTTTTAAACGTTGAGAATGGACCTTATTGATAAGTGATAATAAACATGTATCCGGGGTTCCTAAGGTATAAGGTATTTTTCAAATGTCAAGTTACTTAGAATAATGGGCTGTGTTGAATACTCTTGAGTTAATATCTAACTAACTTTATATACCTGATAAACAACAGCGTGTATTGCGGATCATAGAATTTCAGCTCAGTGATCTAAGAGTATCATCGTAAAACCACAAGATTCTAGATTTTTACCATATAATCTACTGACAAGATGAAAACTGGAATACAAAAAAAAGATATCCAGTATCATCTATTCTTTAATGATTCTTCAGCTGTAGTTCGTCCAGGTTTTCCTTAATGGTCTAGCTTCAAATGACTCATAATTTCAACTATAAAAATTACTGAAATATTTAAAAAAAACCCTTCTGATTATAATAAAAAATTATCTTCAAAAATTGAATTAATCTTTATTCAACTAAAAGTTTTTTTTCACAGTTGAAATCATGAGTCAATTGAAGCTAGACCACCATGTAAAACCTGGAAGCACTGGAGTCCCATAATAGGACGAAACGGCCGTCCAGTGCTTCCAGGTTTTCCATGGTGGTCTAGCTTCAATTGACTCATGATTTCAACTGTGAAAATACTAAATTCTCCACAAAACCCCCTCTCATCTATAATCATATGCTCACTAGTGACTGACTTCAAGAGATATTTCCTTGAGTTCTAGTGGGAAGCAGTGGCCAGTGGAGTTCTACCAGGTCTGTTGTAGAGATATCATCTCACTGAAGACAATTGGTGAACGGTCGCTCAATATCGTGGATTGGTTGAAATTAGACATTAACACCGTTGGATGCCAGCTCAGTGGTCTATCGGTTAAGGGCTTCGGCTCGAGACTGGTAGGTCCTGGGTTCGAATGTCGCTCGCGAGAGCGGGTTCGTGGATGCGCACTGCTGAGGAGTCCCATAATAGGACGAAACGGCCGTCCAATGCTTCCAGGTTTTCCATGGTGGTCTAGCTTCAATTGACTCATGATTTCAACTGTGAAAATACTAAATTCTCCACGAAACCCCCTCTGATCTATAAAAGTTTTTTATTTGTTTAAACTACTCATAAGTAATCATTTCTTTTCATCAATAAAAAGGAAATATACTACTTAAAATCCTATAAGAAAATGTAACATTTTATTCACTGAAAACATAATTTAAAATGAATAATCGTAATAAGGTATCTTATTCATTTTGTTTTATCAAGATAATGTTTTTTTTTTGTTCAATCATAGATACAATAAATAAACATAAATATTTAATGCAAATCATTTTTTACGCTTAGGAAATAAAGTAACATTACTATTATGTTATTTAACTAAAATAAAGTTTTCAGTAGTATTAACAAGAACACCCTCCCCCCCCCTAAAAAAAAATAAACAAGAATTTATTAAAAATTTTCTTTCTTTTTTTTTCTTTTTTTTTTCATTCATGTTTTTTGCAATCAAGATTCGTCAAAATGTTTCAGATATGGTTACTTATCAGGAAATTGTATTATCAATTGAATATCTTCAATATTTCAGTTTTTTGAAAAATATTTATATACCTGAATGTTTAAATTCTAGGAATTGTTGGGATGAATTAAAAAATCTTGGTAAGTTAAATTGTTATAGAAAAAAAGAAAATGATTTTTTAAAGGTTAAATGTCAATGTTAAAGATGGATTCAAGAAATTTTAATGTGAGGCAGTAAATAGCATTAGAATGTAAAATGTTCATTCTTTTTTATTATAAATTCTTTAGTTGGATACATCTGTATATCATTGTTGGTATTTACACCGAAACTCAAATTAAATATCTTTTTCCTTCAAATGGCAAACGTGCTATCCACTGAACTATTGAGTTTAAAACATCACCAGCCTGTGTAATGTGAATGAATTTCATTTAAGTTTGTAAATTTTCCAAATATTGATATTTGGGATTTCAATCGATTTGTCTGTTTTGGTATATGTAAATCTTGAGAGTATCGTCTTGTTCTATATATTTCAGAAGAGTCTTTACATGTGATTAAAATGTCACTAGCCTGTGTAATGTGAATGAATCCCATTTAAGATAAGTTTGTAAATTTTCCAATTATTGATATTATGCATTCCAATCGATTTGTCTGTTTTGGTATATGTAGATCTTGAGAGCATCGTCTCTTTCTGTTTATTTCAGAAAAGTCTTTACAGTTGACTAAAATGTCCTTAACTTCGAAATTTCATGATTTATGTTACATTCAGAGAATTGTAATAGTAAATACATAGAAACGCAAAATTAATTCCTTTAGGAAAATGTCGATAAGAATTTCATCTTTTTCACATTATCTTAAACACATACATTAAATATCAACTGCTTTCAATTGTCTTGACATATTTTGAAACACCCTTCTTCAGTCATATGGTTGACTTAATTGGACATTTTATTTCTTCCCAAGTAAATATTTAGTTGAATAGATATGCTTTGTGTAGTTTTTGATGACTAATGATTTATTTAGTTGAATTTTTAAACGAATATGAGTTTTGCTATTTAAATACTTTTTCCCTCTTAGTTATAACGGGAATTACCACTCCCTTACTCATCAACTCACTCCCACTTTTGCTCTCCCTTTTTCTCTTTTTCCTAATCCCGCCATAGATTGATATGGTAATGAATTAAATTGGGTGTGACTTGTGTAACCAAGTTCTTATAACATTAAAAAAGAAAAAGAAACCAAAAAAACAATGATATTCATAAACACATATTTGCGTGATAAACTCAATGTGCGATAATTAATTTGGCTATTGATTTGCATTGTACCATATTCTTATTTCGAACTAATCGCTATGTTACATAGATAATGATAAAGATAATCTTTCGTCATATTGTTTGTTAGTTACCATATGAAGTTATTATACGCTTAGATCATGTTGATGATGTAAAAATTTCGGTAATTCCGATATGAATCTATCATATCAGTAACAATGTTTTAATTCTTGTACAATACAATGAGTATATTTCCTATTTGTTGCGATCAGTCATATTATCTATCGTTCAAATTAAGAATATTTCTGTTGAATTCGAACTAGCTAACCGTAAATGAAATGTCAAATGTTCACACCAAAGTCTGGAAATGGCAAACGTTAAGAAAAAGTATTCGAAATATAGTGTTGGAATCAACTATTAGATACTTAAGGTTGAGTACCTGATAAACCAAAGGGATCTGATAATTTGAATTATTGTTTTTTCATTGGTCTTCAAAAATAAAAAATATGATCACTTGAAATTCACAAATAAATAAATAAATATGTCAGTTTACTTCATTAAAAACAGTTTTAGTCCTGATATTAAAGTGTGGTTTTATAAACTTCTCAAGTCACGATCTGTTTACATTCTTGTTGAAGGATCACCATTAGGCTTTTTGTTAGCAGATCTTTTTCTTGCAAAGCTGGAGAATAGATTGATTAAAAAAAAATGATTAGTCGGCTAAAACTTTGCTGTCACTATATTGAAGATACTTTATCGGTATAAGGAAAACAGGGATGAATATGATAATTGATTGAACATATTCCACAACCTTTATTCAGAAATTACATTTGTTCATGAAGAATAACAAAGTGATAGTACAGCGTTTTTAGATGTTCGCTTGACAAGAATATCAGATAGGATAACAAAGAAGGTATTGATATAAAATCAGCGACTGCTCAATATACTAACTTCCACAGATAATAAAATAAATTTAATAAAAGTCCTTACTTACTTGCTTATGCCTGCTACCCCTTGTGAAGGAGCATAGTCCGACCACCAACATTCTCCATCAAACTCTGTCCTGGGCAATGCTTGCTAGTTCCTTCCAGTTGTTATTCATCCTTTAGATGTCTGTTTTCAATTCATGATGCAATGTGATCTTTCCTTTCTCTGTTTCTCTTACTGATCGTGTTAAAATGATTTACTCTGAAGACACAATTGAAGGTGAATTAAATAGTATCCCTGAAATTGTGAAGCAGTCTAAGACCAACTTTAAAGACTTGGAAGCAGTGGACTTCCATTTTATCCCAATATAAAACTCCTCAGCAATACACATTCATGATCCCGCACCCGCAGATCAAACACGAGAACTCTAAACAACTATGCCCTGATCCAACGATCTTAATGTCTAACCTCGATTAATACATTTTTATTTTCAATTGAATTCTATATACTGTTAGGAATTATAAAACAAACACATTAAAATATGCTGGTAGTACAAAATACATAAATAATAAATATACATACTACCTTTTAACTCTTAGCTAATGTAGATAATTTATTATTCAACTCGTATCAAATTTCTTTTTCTTGTTTTGTTTAAATTAGTAACATGTTTATCTTTATTTTCAAAAAACAATTAGGTCAATATACTTTTAATCATAAATGAATTGAGTAAAAATTTTTAATAGAATATCAACGAAAAAAAATGAAAGAAGAAAAAAAAAGAAAAAGAAATTACAATAAAAAAAAATAAAAATCGATTGTTCAGTTTTTCTTTTTTTTTTCTTTTTTTAAAAAAATATTTTCATATTAAATTTCAATTATAATTTTTTATATAAATAAAAAAAGAAAATTCAGTTAATTAATTAGTTAATATATAAATCATTATTGATATAATTACTAATAAGAATAGTTTAATTTAATAGAATATACTTCCAATATTTAATAATTAGTATTATATTGGTTTAAGTATCATTGTTTAACATTAATTGGGTATAATTTTTAAATGCTTTTTGTATTCTATTTTAATTAATCTAAGAATTCTTTTGAAAATAAAAGATTTATTTGTCAATTATAAAAAGTGATAGATAATGAAATGCTCCCCAAATGTCTTGGTACGACTAAAGGTGGAGAGAGTTAGCTATCTTTCTCGAAATGCTTTCACATGGCCACGCGTATACAGCCTCTGACAGGGAAGTCCTACTCACTACCTTCTCGTGGTATTACTGTTGTTTATGAAGTTGAGAGGACGAAAAGCGAATGTCCGGCACTTAAACCGGGTTGGTGGAAACGCAGGGTCCACCTATAAGAGTTGGAAAACCCTGATTCCAAACTAATGGTGGACCAAATATTTTGATACATTGGGATTCATTGACAAGATGTAACTGAAACTTTGAAAGATGTGATTTTGTCATTGAAAGACGAATACGCGTCACCTGACGCCAGTCAATTGACAGGATTTGTTAAATACAAGATATTAGATAGCATAAAATTGACTAACACTGAGTGATCGATTAGTGTGAATAAATCTGTTCTACATGAAAGTAAGTGAGGTCTAGATAGTTCAAAGGTAATTTCTGTAGTATCGTGGTATGTTAACAGTTATAGATAGGTTTTACTAGCAGGCGGAAACTTGAATGAAACTTGAGTTTCAGGTTTCCTGTAACTGCCATCAACCAGATAACATGATACTATTAGTCTCTATTTAATCTGATAGATTTCACAGTCAACTAGTAAGATCAAGAGTAACCTAATTTTGTGAGACACATAAATCAGAGTTATCTGAATTTTTATCATCAAAAACGAAAAGTTGCTTGTCCATTTGAGGTTTGTGTAGCAGCAGCCTCAGCAGCAGTAGGTCTCGATATAAACAAAGGGAAAAACAAAACTCTCCGATACAATACAATATGCACCAATCAAATTACACTTGACGGAGAAGCTTTGGAGGATGTGGAAACCTTTACATATCTGGGTAGCATCATTGATGAACTCGGTGGATCAGATGCAGATGTGAGGGAGAGGATCGGCAAAGCAAGAGCAGCATATTTACAACTGAGGAACATCTGGAGCTCAAAACAATTGTCAACCAACACCAAGGTTAGAATTTTCAATACAAATGTCAAGACAGTTCTACTGTATGGGGCGGAGACGTGGAGAACTACGAAAGTCATTATCCAGAAGATACAAGTGTTTATTAACAGCTGTCTACGCAAAATACTTCGGATCCGATGGCCAGACTCTATCAGCAACAAGTTACTGTGGGAGACAACAAACCAGATTCCAACAGAGGAAGAAATCAGGAAGAAGTGCTGGAAGTGGATTGGGCACACTTTGGGGGAATCACCTAATTGTGTCACAAGACAAGCCCTCACATGGAATCCTGAAGGTCAAAGGAGAAGAGGAAGACCAAAGAACACATTACGCCGAGAAATAGAGACAGATATGAGAAGAATGAACAAGAACTGGATAGAACTAGAAAAGAAAGCCCAGGACAGATTGGGTTGGAGAAAGCTGGTCGTCGGCCTATGCTCCATTGGGAGTAACAGGCGAAAGTAAGTAAGTAAGTAAATGCACCAATGACTGTTTAATAACAGTCAGTCGTCCTGAGCTCCTTGATTCTGTGTTTCAACAACGGATGCTAACATATTACTAAAACTATCTTCAGAAGATAATATATCACAACAAAAAAGTGTAGAAAGAGAAAACTGAGCAAAATTTTAACCTTCATAGTAGAGTATGATTGTCAGAGAAAGTCTTCAGTTTTTATCAATAGGCCGAAAGAATACTGAGGATATTTTGTGATTTAACAAACCTATCCAACCAAAAGTTAGTATTTATATCGTTATTAGTAGGAGGTTGAGTTGTCTAGTTGTTGATATTAGGAACTGAGTTATAATCAGTATTCGTTGAAATATGTTGATCTCGCGCACACTTCCTAGATATAATCATCATGTCCCAAGTTATTAGGAGTCTCGGCGTGAACATCGACACTAAGATGCAGATATATCTAGCTGACGAGTCCTAAACAGAAAGATCCCATTGTTAGCCATAGCCTATCTATTATAGAAAGTCCCCATAACTTAACTCACAAACTGATCTTAGTTAAAACATCTTTGAAAACCCTGGAGTACTGGATGGCAGTTTCATCCTGATCTAGGACTCCTCAACAGTAAGCATCCATGACCCTGCCTTAGGGAATCAAACCCAGGACCTTCGGACCGCTGTGCAAACCCTTGACCTTCATTCCATTGCGCAATATCATGGACCGACTACAGCTAAACACTAAGAACGTTTAATTGGGCTTGGTGGTTCGGAGTTTAAATGTTCTCATGCTATACCGAAGGTCTTGGGTTTGATTCCCTGATATGTGGTCTTAAAAGAGCCCTTTTGAAGAGTTTCATAATAGAATGAAACGGCTCCTCAGTGTCAATGGGTCTTCAGTGGTGCTTTAACTATGATCATTTAGTAATTTAAATGATGAAAATTCTACTATTTGCACTAATCCCCCTGAACGACCCTACATAAATTGGTACTGTTTTAATGACTACTGATAATTAGTAAGTAGTAAAAGATATACATAACTCCACCTATTCGACCCTGGATAGATATTAATCAGTACCTGGAAATTCATACATTAAATAATTCCTTATGCAACTAATATCATAACATTATATGACCATTAGATAATTGTTTTTCATAGATTGCTGATAAATTTTTGCATAAAACATCATTGATCTCTAAGACATTTACACAACTAATACTCGTCTATTTTAAGAGTCCACCCCTCTACACTTTTTATCTTACTCACCGTATATTTGTTTCCCACCTTTCTAATGCATACCCAAATACACTTGTATTAATTACTTCTTTTTTTTTTTTAAAAAAATTATAATTTAGGCATAAATTTACACATCGTACCATTGGAACTTGATGTAAATAAATCAGCTGATTTTATTATTGGTATTATCCTATCTACACATTATGATATCATGTCGATTTATATGAATGAAAAAAATCAACCTACTGTTAAACGACCATCATCATCACCTTCACAATCGATGATGAATCAACTAGTGCAAATTAACAAACCGCTATATGATCATACAAATGACATATTCAAACATACTACTACTATTAATGATCAAACAATAGAGAATATTGTATCAAATAATCAAGAAACTCAATTAAATACTGATCGAAATATTCAAATCGGTATTATTGGTATAGGTAAGTTCGTTAGTTATTGACTCAATATTTTTTTATACAAAAGTTTTCATTTTTAATTAATTTTTACTTTTGGGAAAATTCATAATTCTACTACACATGTATTTATTGTTATTTGTATGGTTTCAATCTATCAAGATCATTCACTGAGTAATTTCAGTAACTTTAATAATATTCTTGCATAAATTCTTTCATAACTAATCAGAATTTCTGGAAGTATCATTTTCCGAACCCAAGTTTTGCTATTGACTGTTTTGAGTTATGTAATAGTTCCTTTGAAATAACCTCTCCTTTACTATTAATTTAACATTAGATGTGATATCGGATATAATTTTCCAAATACTCCGAATAATTACATAAAAGTGTGATGATATAAACATAATTTTTGTTGTCAGTTAGATTTATTGGTCAGCAGAGATCGTTTTTTTTTCGAATGCCTGTCACATATTCATCTCAATTGATTCAGGACTTACTTTTCATTCCGTTTAGATTTTGTACATTAAATACTGATAAGTTATTCGGGAAAACCAGTGGTGCACTTCTTTATGACATAACGGTGAACTTTATTAAAATTTCATTAAAGAACTTTTAGATTAGCTATCTCTTTTTTTGGATTAAGTAGTCCGACATTTGTAGTTAAGATTTCTGACATAAAATTAACTTTGATATTAATAAAATGGTATTTATCCCCTCTCGATATATGTAAAGAGCCTTGAATGTGGTTGCAGTAGTTTTATTACTTGGTAAGTAAGTAGGTAAGTAAGTAAGTAAGTAAGTAAGTAAGTAAGTAACGTTGTCCCTCCAACATTCAATATAGAATAATAAGAAATATAATACCTACATAAAAGAGGGAAATAAATAAATACTTTAGCCATGATGTTTTAATTTTAATACAAGGTTCTCGGCAAATTCTTGACTACCCTACTTAAGCTCTTACAATATAATTCGATTTACGCCTAATGTAATATACCATGAATAAGTCATTTTACTCGAGTAACTGGGATTCTTAAGTAACATCAAGTATGATTATTAGAAAGAACGTGGGATTTTTTTAAAGCTACAGTATACTTAATTTAACTCAGGGAAAGTTTTTAGATAATTTTATCATTCAGAATCTTCTTCTTATCACGAATCATAGCAGTTGGAACACAGAGAAAGGTGGAATCAGAAGAGAATTTGTTGCCACTGTTATAACTTCACTTTGTTAAGTAACTCAAAATATATTACCACGATAGCGAATCCAGTTACTAAACGTCTGCACTCTCTTTTCAACAGTACGCTCCCTAATATTATTGACCCAGCCCTCAATTGTTATGAATAGGAAACTAGCTTGTGAAGTATATACATATATATAATGGAAATAACAGTACTCTTTCATCATATGTCTCCTTCTCAAGGCTTAATGGTTGCATCTCAATAATCATTAAAGGGAACGAAGTTTATATTAGGTAAATGTCAAAAATGAGTGGAATGATTATCAATATGCAACCGAATGTCATAAAGAATTATTAATAAGTGACTCTAACAAAACTCAACGTTTAAGGGAGAGATTATCACACCGGTTTTGTCAATGGTCTTATTCCTGACCTCTTTTTATCAGAATACTATGCGAAAATCAATTATCATATTAGAAAGATGATTTTGGAAGATCAGATAGGATACTAATAAAAGTTCTTGAGTATTTGATCACCTAATTAGGCTATCGAAACGAAGTTTCCAATTCGTAAGAATAAAAGATAACTTATGCTAGGTTAAACTAATCAGTTTAAAACAAAGATTATAGTATCAACTATATAAGATTATTATGAGATTGGATATGGTTGACATTAAATCGTGTTTGACTAAGATCTCCTGAAAGACGGCAATTTTCAACAAGGTATATCTAAAACTATCGAGAGAAGTAACACTCCCTGTGAGGTTTGGACGCACATCACAAAGCCTTATAATCTGAGACATTATCACTGAGCTATTCGGTCCTCGACAGACCTACTGTGGGTTTGAAACTTAACTTTTAAAAATTGTTATGACCAGATTATATTAAAGCTGATGAAGTAACTTGAACAGGTGGAAATATAACTTAACTTTTACATTTTATATATCTGACTGGTTGACTGATAGAATAAATAGGGCTTTTTGATCAAGGTAAAGTATGACTAGTAGATTTTAAGTGTTTAATAGATAAAGTTTCTGTCTATATCAGAATCGTATACTTAACTACTACGTTTTACTGTATGTATCTACATGATAACCTCAGATAGACTGTACAATTTACAATATCTGTATCACGAAAGATTTTAGTGAACTAAAAACTGATTAAGTAACGCTATTTATATCATCGATTTGTTTTCTTTTTTTTAATCTCATCTTTACTTTTCTCCTTCTTCGAATAGGTCCAATCAGTTTAACTATTATACGTCAGTTAGAGAAATTTAATTATAATATACGTGTATTTGACAAATTCTTACCTGATGGAATTGATACTGTGTTAAATTTCAATTATACAAATAATTATGAAGAAATGATTCATAGATCTGATTGGATTATTTTTATACAAGAATCAAGTATCATGAAGGATATGAGATCATTTGGAAGAAGTAATGGTTGTTCACTGTTGACGGTGAATGAAATATTTAATGTGAATATGAAAGCTAAAATGAAAAGCGGTAAATTAACATTTTTGAATCTATGTATATATAATACTAGAGACTTTATTCTCCTCTCAGTCTCAATGTGAACATTAATACTAAGATCTAGATATATTCAGTTAGTGAGTCTGAAATAAGTGCCCTAAACTCCAGTGCTAGTCACTATTCAATTTGAATAAGTATTTCATGAAAAAATCTTCACTTTAGATGGAAATAAGAAAACCTTACATTTATGAATTAAATGGATACGTAGTACATACTATATTACGAATTAAAAACTCTTCGATTTTTGAATGATATCATTCTTTAGAATGTTACGTTATTCTAACCATAATCGACATTGGTAATTATACAGATGTAAGAGTTAGTCAGTCAGTCACAACATAGAACTTCGTACGTACGTACATCAGTTCGAGTCGCCATACCATATTAACACAGAGATAAAGTTGTCGATTCAAATCCCATAGTGGTAGAAGTAGTAAGAGTATGAGCATTAATCGGAAAGATTAGGGTTTGAAGATGTTATTGAAGGAGTATAATCCAATGGAATAAATTTAGAAAGAGGAAATAAATAGAGACATGAAGAATTCAGAAGATTGATGGTTTAAACAGAATGTATCCGACAAAATGAACTGTTTTAATGTTGAATAGTTATTTTGATAAATGTTTAATTTTTTAAAAGGTTTATGTCGCTTTGTATCAAAACTACATCTAAAGGAAAAATGGTTGTGTACCGTCTCAGATGTTTTTAGATTAAACGCTTACCACGAAACCAAATAGTCGTCGGCAAGGTCATGGATGCCCACTGTGAAGAAGTAATAGAGTGAAACATTTATTCAATATTTCATAGTTGAAAGCATGAGTCAACTGAAGCTAGACCACCAGGGAGAACCTGGAAACACTGGACGGCCGTTCCGTCCTATTATGGGACTCCTCAGCAGTGTGCATCCACGAACCCGCTCTCACGAGATTCGAACCCAGGACCTACCAGTCTCGAGTCAGAGCCCTTAACCGACAGACCACTGAGCTGGCATCCGATGGTGTTAATGTCTAACTTCAACTGATCCACGAAGTTAAGCAACCATTCACTAATTGTCATCAGTGAGTTCCTATCTCACGACAGATGTGGTTTGTACTCCACTGGTCACTGCTTCTCACTAGAGCTCCTGGATGTACTTCCCGAAGTCACTAGTGAGCATATGATTATATTAATTATCATTGATTGGAACGGATATCTAACTAGTATTAGCTCATGATGTAGACTATAAAATTCAAAAACATTTATAAACCCCCTCCCTACATGAACAAAAAATATGTTTCTGCACAATCATTTCAGTTAGTGGTAGTGATTGTGTTCTAAATACTGACTTCATGATGGGAATCTTGATATTTCAGTGAAGGACTGTGATCACTGTAGTCAATTAAGTTGGTTATTCATCAACGGTGTTTTGTAAACATCGAACTATTTTAAAAATTTACTTTATTTAGAAAATATAGACTGTAGGATGACTTAGACTCAGTGATTTAATGGTATTGTGGTTGCTGATGAAGCAGGACTTTTTAGGTTTGATACAGATTGAAGCTATGAGTATGCACTACTGAAGAGTGTTTAATATGCGTTTCATCACAGTTCCTATTTTTCATTGATTCTCTACTTATTATCATGTCTTGATGGAAATTACTTTTACATAACTAGCTGTCATACTTTCTGAAAATAAAAAACAAACAAACTGGGTACGCTTTATTGAGTCAACTTATAACCCAATATGCAGTTGTATCATTGCTATGTTTCCCCGCGTGGGTTCGAATTTCGTCCTCGTTGCCAAATTTGCTATGTTTGAAGCGATTACGAGTTCACTTAGTCTGCGAACGGAACGAACACTTTCGACCAAAGACCAATAAGTTAACTATCCTGATGCACCCCAGCCCCGCTAACTAAAGAGAGAAGTCGAAGTTCGAGCGGGGAATAAATATACTCCGCAAGCAGGCAGAAGCACAAGCAATCACTGCAGACACAAATTAAACGGATAAATACAACATAAAACTGTCCTTGGTAAACGTTACGAAATAGCATACTAAAAGACACAACGAACCAACAGCGTTTAAGATTTTCCCAAGTGGGAAATACGACATGAAGGAGAAAAGAACGCTTTTGGCTCGAAAACGAAGAAATTCAAAATTTCAAAATATAATTACAAAAATAAGGTATTTACTAAATGAGTTCTGGGAATCTAACATCCCCAAAAATCATAATTTTCCATCTCCTTTCATTCTAATCGATTCAATATGTTTTACTTACATTTATACTACTTTTATATTATATTTAATTCTTGTAAATTGTAGGATGTCATATATTATACATTAATCTGGTTGACGATTATCCACATGAACTAACTACATTGAATACACTTGCTCACTCTGGATATGTAGCAGACATTTATGTATTATTAAGGAAATCATGTGAGAATTTAACTTGTAAGTGTATATTGAAATTTTTATTCTGATAGTTACTGTTTTTTATTCTTAACTGTTTTCAGTTATTGTTATCGTTATGAAGTGATTTCAATGTACTAATATAAATGCATTTAGTAAGAATAGATGGGTTATAGCTATTCGTGAAATTCAGGGCACACATTTCACTCTATTCGGAACTACCTAACTGGATGTATTTGCATCTCAGAGTCTGTGTTCAGATTGAGTGTAACTCAAACTAGGTATCCTTCGTTTCAAACTCCATGAGATGTTGATTTGAGATAGTCGGTAGTTTGCTGAACGAGTACGTTGTTTATGCCACTAGTAGTAAAGGTTTAAATAATCTTGTTGCTGATACTGAGGAACTAATTCTAATCAGCTTTCATTGTGGGGATTGACACGATATAGTCATTTCGTCACATTATTTTGCTTGCCTGGCAATTATTAGAAAAATGGATGGTTAATGAAGTCTTAATCATCTAATAAATCTATCTTGGATATAAACTTGAATCGATAATGAATTTAATCATGAAATCACTTGTTCATAGTCATTATTAAAATTTAAATATTGATTTTTTATTTTATCTTAAACTGACTGATGTACTTACGTCTCTGGTAATGTGAATATTTATAGTTCTGGTGAGAAGCAGTTGTCAGTGACTTTTAACTATATCATGTGAAGCAGTTACTCACTTATGGTATTGAGAAATAGCGAAGCAATATCGTGAATTAATTGGAGGTAGGAATGTACGGCATTAAATGGCGACTTATTGTTCTAAAGGTTAAGTTCTCACTTAGAAACCGAGGTGTTCGAGGTTCGATTCCTAAGGAAGTCATTTATATTGACTGCTTAAGAGTCCTATACTAAGACGAAACGCTTGTCCAGTATGTCCTGGTTTACAGTGGTTGTCTAAATAATTTCAGTTTAACCCTTATGACAACATAGCTTTATATTTCTAATTAACTCTCGATATGTCTTCAAAAGAGAGTAGCTCATAATAAACCTATTAGTTTTGCGCGTGAGCGCTCAACCTATAGACCACTGAGCCGGCATCCAACGGTATTAATAATTACTAAATTTGAATAAGTATGAAAGATATACCCTTTTTTATTATTCTGAACAATGTTTATTAATTATAGTTTGTTTTAATTTATAGCTGAGTTCAATATTCAAAAGTCACCAAATTTAATTTGTTTAAATAATAAACTAAATAAACTTCAAGTACAATCAGAAGAATTACGTAGAAGTATAAGTCAATTTCTTCGAAGAAATCTGCTTAAAAATTTAATGTTTATACCTAAATTCAATGAAATAACTCAAACTGATAAGTTTAAAAATAAAACTGAACCACGATATAAAATGACTTTGAATAATCAAAAAATGAATCCTACAATAAACACATTAAAGAAAAATACAAATACACATCAGAAACTTCGTAAGTTTATTCATGACATTTATTAATTGCAGTAGATTTTTCTACTTGGAAATGTTTTTATTGGTCCTAGTGACTAAGTTAAACATAGTGGAACTATTTAAGATATCGTATACACTCGTAATATATATGAACGCCAATTTAAAGAGGAGTGAATTTATTGATCGGACGCAATTGATACTTGAAATCGTACGAGCAGTCTTGGGTGCTAACCGGTCCTCCAATCTGCCTAGCCCAGCCAGTTGAGTCCAGAACACAAATAACAGCCTCGGCAATATGAATCATTATTTACAAGCATACTGGGTTTTTATACAAACCAAAGTAATCAATAAACTGATTATAACTCAATAATCGTATGATCATAAATCAAAGATCAAAATAAAGCTAATGATAAGAGAAACACGAATATGAATAATTTAGTTACGTAACAATTGTACAATAAGAAATAGGCATAATACATTGGTCGACAATAGACCTCAGATTTACCATTCATAATTCACCAGGGGATATAACACCTCCCCTTTTTGAGAAATCTAGAGTTGATATCCGGATTTTAAATTTCTCGAATTCATCCTCCCCCACGAAAGACTGTTGGATCCTCATGAACCCAAGTTACCATTATTGTGACATTATTTAAAACATATTCGTCGTATTTAACTGAGAATCCACGAGAACTTATTAGATCGTGAGGATCGATGACATTCGATTTGAGGTCACCAGCGTCTGGTTCTTCTGAAACAGTTTCCTTGAATTTACTCGGAACCTCATTAGTAAATAATGAATCATTAGGATAATCAGTATCTATGAAAGTTGTATTGGATTCTTGATTATCATTTAATGCATCCGATATTTTTCTCCCATTTTTATAAGAGATTTGAACTGGAACATATGAATCAGCAAAATAATCGGGATCTGGCAGAACAATTAGATAATCTTGATCACTAGATTCATTAGACAAATTTTTTGCATCGTGACTGGTTTGATTTGGCGCCACTGTATTCACTATACTGCTCGGTTTGTTCCCCGTTTCTTCGTGGGCGGGTACCGCAGCAAATTCATGAGCATTTAGTAAGACATTGTCTTTCTGTAAACAGGTTGATCCACTGTTTGCACGTCCGTTTTCGGGGTTAATAGGACTTGAACCGTGTATAGGGCATGTCTCTGAAGCAGACAGTACCGGACTATTGGGCTGATCATGTAGGACTGCTACTGCTGCATTTAAATTACTGTTTTTCGCGGATTCATTGAGGCTTTCCTCTGAATATTCATTTGTTCTGCAATCGATTTCCAGCTCTGTACGCAATTTAAAAATTGATGCGTCGACTTCCGTTGCACCCCCAAAGCATGGGTGATTCAGCAGCTTTGCATGTAACTTGTCAATGAATTCCAATTGACTCTTTCTGAAGCGCTGCTCTTGTCACTGGATTAGCAACTGAAATTGATCGGAAGTTAGAGCCATTTTTTACCCCGTCGCCAGTTGTTATATCGTATGCACTCGTAATATATATGAACGCCAATTTAGAGAGGAGTGAATTTATTGATCGGACGCAATTGATACTTGAAATCGTACGAGCAGTCTTGGGTGCTAACCGGTCCTCCAATCTGCCTAGCCCAGCCAGTTGAGTCCAGAACACAAATAACAGCCTCGGCAATATGAATCATTATTTACAAGCATACTGGGTTTTTATACAAACCAAAGTAATCAATAAACTGATTATAACTCAATAATCGTATGATCATAAATCAAAGATCAAAATAAAGCTAATGATAAGAGAAACACGAATATGAATAATTTAGTTACGTAACAATTGTACAATAAGAAATAGGCATAATACATTGGTCGACAATAGACCTCAGATTTACCATTCATAATTCACCAGGGGATATAACACCTCCCCTTTTTGAGAAATCTAGAGTTGATATCCGGATTTTAAATTTCTCGAATTCATCCTCCCCCACGAAAGACTGTTGGATCCTCATGAACCCAAGTTACCATTATTGTGACATTATTTAAAACATATTCGTCGTATTTAACTGAGAATCCACGAGAACTTATTAGATCGTGAGGATCGATGACATTCGATTTGAGGTCACCAGCGTCTGGTTCTTCTGAAACAGTTTCCTTGAATTTACTCGGAACCTCATTAGTAAATAATGAATCATTAGGATAATCAGTATCTATGAAAGTTGTATTGGATTCTTGATTATCATTTAATGCATCCGATATTTTTCTCCCATTTTTATAAGAGATTTGAACTGGAACATATGAATCAGCAAAATAATCGGGATCTGGCAGAACAATTAGATAATCTTGATCACTAGATTCATTAGACAAATTTTTTGCATCGTGACTGGTTTGATTTGGCGCCACTGTATTCACTATACTGCTCGGTTTGTTCCCCGTTTCTTCGTGGGCGGGTACCGCAGCAAATTCATGAGCATTTAGTAAGACATTGTCTTTCTGTAAACAGGTTGATCCACTGTTTGCACGTCCGTTTTCGGGGTTAATAGGACTTGAACCGTGTATAGGGCATGTCTCTGAAGCAGACAGTACCGGACTATTGGGCTGATCATGTAGGACTGCTACTGCTGCATTTAAATTACTGTTTTTCGCGGATTCATTGAGGCTTTCCTCTGAATATTCATTTGTTCTGCAATCGATTTCCAGCTCTGTACGCAATTTAAAAATTGATGCGTCGACTTCCGTTGCACCCCCAAAGCATGGGTGATTCAGCAGCTTTGCATGTAACTTGTCAATGAATTCCAATTGACTCTTTCTGAAGCGCTGCTCTTGTCACTGGATTAGCAACTGAAATTGATCGGAAGTTAGAGCCATTTTTTACCCCGTCGCCAGTTGTTATATCGTATGCACTCGTAATATATATGAACGCCAATTTAGAGAGGAGTGAATTTATTGATCGGACGCAATTGATACTTGAAATCGTACGAGCAGTCTTGGGTGCTAACCGGTCCTCCAATCTGCCTAGCCCAGCCAGTTGAGTCCAGAACACAAATAACAGCCTCGGCAATATGAATCATTATTTACAAGCATACTGGGTTTTTATACAAACCAAAGTAATCAATAAACTGATTATAACTCAATAATCGTATGATCATAAATCAAAGATCAAAATAAAGCTAATGATAAGAGAAACACGAATATGAATAATTTAGTTACGTAACAATTGTACAATAAGAAATAGGCATAATACATTGGTCGACAATAGACCTCAGATTTACCATTCATAATTCACCAGGGGATATAACAAAAACTACATAACATTTTTATGATTTTGTATAAATAAAATTAGTAAAATAGAAAATTCAAAATATAATAAACATCATTCACTTGGTATTGTTCGCTTGTATCTCCCATATGCCAATAAGTGACTGATTAATTGAAGTTCTAAATAACAATGGGAAGATATAAGTAAACAATACCAAGTGAATTGAAACTTCGCCCCATTTCACAAGTAAGTGACTATTAAGAATCAGTAGCTAAGTGGATAACGCAATGACGTTTGAAGCGAACAATACTGGGTTCAAGTCCCAAAGTAGACATCAACTCTGAGATGCAGGTACATCCAGCTGATGAGTCCTAAATAGAACGAAACGTTCTTCCTAGAATCTACTGCTAGCCACCATTTATCTTTGTTGACAATGAATATCAGTCTCAAACGGTTAACTTCTTTTGCTTTTAATCCATTTAGTGTAAAAATAAAAGAATGGAGAAGATTATTCGTACTACTGGGAAAATCCTATTCACGAGTTGATCATTATTTAGCATTTATTTCAAAGGTTAAACGTCTACCGGTAATATGTTCGTAAATTACGTTTAGCATTTTAACTAACTACGAATAGTTGAAAAACAATTGCTGGTATATACTTAAATTGCCTGAGGTCATTCAAACTAAAAAATGTTGGTAATTAGCTATTTATATCATAGGTAGTCAAATAATGAAACAGAGTACATTGGATGAGTATACGTACTGTACATCCTAACCACCTCAATCGATGAGAATTTACAGCTTGATCAGCTGAACTATTATTTTTATTTAGTAGTCTACGTTTAACCTCAGTATTTCCAACTTGGTGTCCATGTTATACATGAGTAAATTCTCGAAAGCATCTATGATCAATTACTAGTAACTTATGACTACCCTTTACTGTTAAAGATCATGTTTCACAGATATAAAGTAAAATATAACGAAATGCTGCTCAGCAATTTCGTCCTTTAGTTACTAGATAAACTCCTAATTGATTAGAAGAAGAATTCTATTCACTAATTAAAATGATTACTACCTGATTTTAACACAGTTACTACAATTAAACTGAGTTTTATATCCCCCCTATTATTATCATCATTAATTTGTATCCATTCTTTATTTACAGCACCTCATGGGATAAAGAAGCATCTAACATTTGGTATCAATTCATTAGTGGCTTCAAAAACTTTAAAATATTATCCTACTCATTGTGAACAACCATGAACTAAACACATTCACTGATCATTAAGAAACCAATTAATTGAAAATCAATGTATATACATATATTATCATCTATGGAAAATAACATCCAATAATAAATTATATGTTTGTATATATTTGACAGATATTCTTGTTTTGCAATCTCACTCATAAATCACATTGTCTAGAATCTTAGTGATCTTTTCATCTGTATTATTATTCCATAAGCAATCTTTATCAGTAATAACCAGTTATTTTGATTGAAATGAAGAAAGCACATATATGTTTCATTTATGTCCATTTATTTTTCAATGTTTTTGATGGAGTTCTGTTCTCTGAACTGGATAATTTGGTCATGGAGCTTTCATCGTTCTTCTAAATGATATCATCAGTAGAAACTCCAAGTAGGAGTGGAGTGTTAGAATTTCTCCTCATGTGGTTCACAGCTTGTCCTGTAGACCTCGATGTTGATTGGTTCTTGTTAGGCCACATGTGAAGAGATACGAATAATTCATTTCTACTTGACATTTGTGATGATGATGTCGTTTAGAAGAACAATGAAAGCTCCACAACCAAATTATTCAGTTCAGAGAACAAAACTTCATCAAAATCAAACACCTGAACTAGAAATTTTCTCCACTATGTCATTTCTCAATGTTTATTACGGAGTTTAATCACTCATCAATGATTGAAGCCCCAATATAGTTCCTTTCGTGTTCAGTCAACATTTTGACGATACTTTCCCTTTTTATATTCAAAATGACACAATACATTGACTATTATATCATTTTATTGTATTTACTATTGAAATAATATGTTTACTTATTTCATTCTTATCTTCATATTCATTTTATAATATGTTTTTGTTTTTGATGTGAAGAATACACTTAAATGAAAGTTATCCAATTATTTCTGTTTGATTGATAAATATGCTCATTATGCTCATATGCTCATATGCTCACTAATGAGTTCGAGAAGTATAACTAGGAGCTCTAGTGAGAAGCAGTGACCAGTGGAGTTCAAAACCACGTCTGTTGTGAGATAGGAACTCACTCATGACAATTGGTGAATGGTTGCTCAACTTCGTGGATCAGTTGAAGTTAGACATTAACAACATCGGATGCCAGCTCAGTGGTCTATCGGTTAAGGGCTTCGGCTTGAGACTGGTAGGTCCTGGGTTCGAATCTCGTGAGAACGGGTTCGTGGGTGTGCACTGCTGAGGAGTCCCATAATAGGACGAAACGGCCGTCCAGTGTTTCCAGGTTTTCGATGGTGGTCTAGCTTCAATTGACTCACGCTTTCAACAATGATAAATACTAAATCTCCACAAAACCCTTTCTATAATTGATAGTTATATATAAAGAATATTTGATATCATTATCCTATGAGGATCGTCAAAAACTAATTTTAATTTCAGTCCATACTACTTATGCATAAGCAAGAGATCATGAGTTGAAAATTTTTTCTATTTGTATATAAATGATGTAGACTTTATTTTGTAAGGTTGTTTTTTTTAAAGGTTAGGATTGTTAATGCCATGCTCAATCCTTCTTGATTACCTAGGCTTGAGATTGGCTATAACCCTAGAAGGTCTCAAGGTGAAATTTATATCTAAAATATTTCTTGAACAATTTCGCTATTAATAATACTCCTTAGTATCAAAGTCCACTCAATTAATGGTAGTTGCGTTTTCGTGAAAAATATATTGTATCGTAAATCGGTTGAAACTGCAGATATGAGTGTTTAGATACTGACTTCATGGTTTATTAGCAACATATCCACTTTGAAATGATAAACATTCTAAACTAGTACCCGTGAAGCTTTGTATATTTATTTATTTATTTAAACACATAAATATTGGTACAAAAGGGCACCAGATATATATGCGCCACACAATACAATGAGAATGGGAAGAGAAAAGGGATAAGATGGATATATATATATATAACAAGGGTAATGATGGGAGAAACTGAAATGCACAACCAGAAGATCTCTTTCATTTAAGGAAGTTATGACCACTCTCTATGAAGAAAGTTAAAGAAGGTTACAACAGGATCACTACTGGCTTCTATTCTGAACCATATATGATAACGTCTCTATCCACTGTGTTGCATCATCTCTCGGAACCCAGTCAGGGAGTCGTGGAGGTCCAACAGAAGTCAGCCTTTTGCAGCTTTCTTTCATACCACGGCAGCATATCATACACTGATCACCTCGCCGCTTTTTCCAACCAATCCCGGAGACGGCAAATAATGCACGACAAAAAATTCTCTGGAACGACATTCGTAGAACATGTCCAAGCCAACAAAGTCGATGTTTGAAGACAGTGACACCAATTGAATTATTGTCTCCGTGCCCAAACACTCGATGCCGAACCTCTGCATTGCTAATATGGTGTTTTTCATAGTAGAAAGCATGAGTCAATTGAAGCTAGACCACCAGGGAGAACCTGGAAACACTGGACAGCCGTTCCGTCCTATTATGGGACTCCTCAGCAGTGCGCACCCACGAACCCGCTCTCACGAGATTCGAACCCAGGACCTACCAGTCTCAAGCCGAAGCCCTTAACGGATAGACCACTGAGCTGGCATCCGATGGTGTTAATGTCTAACTTCAACTGATCCATGAATTTAAGCAACCATTCACTAATTGTCATCAGTGAGTTCCTATCTCACAACAGACGTGGTTTTGAACTCCACTGGTCACTGCTTCTCATTAGAGCTCCTAGTTATACTTCTCGAAGTCACTAGTGAGTATATGATTATATTAATTATCAGAATGGGTTTTGTGGAGATTTAGTATTTTTCATAGTAGAAAGCATGATTCAATTGAATGGTCTAGCTTCAATTGAAACATTTTGAAACTAGTCATTATATCAAAATGAATATGGTTCTTTAGAAAAACAATGTGTTTTAAGTGAATATTACTGAAAAGTGTTTTATTCAAATGTAAAAGCTATCAAATGCTTTCTTGTTTTATGGTAGTAGTTTCTATATCAATTGTAATGCATAGAATATATCTTCAAAACACAAGTACTACAAAACCGTTGAGTAAATAAAAACTTCTTAGGGCAGTTAATTTCATGCTAGTCTAGTTTTTTCAGATTATTTACACGTCTTTTTTTATTTAGATAAATTAGTGTATTCTCATTACAACAGTATTATGTTTATACAGATAATAATTTAATTCTGATTACTTGTATCAAAAGAAATATTATTAATTTATAAACAAAATGTAAATGAGAGGGGGTTTTGTGGAGAATTTAGTATTTTCACAGTTGAAATCATGAGTCAATTGAAGCTAGACCACCATGGAAAACCTGGAAGCACTGGACGGCCGTTTCGTCCTATTATGGGACTCCTCAGCAGTGCGCATCCACGAACCCGCTCTCGCGAGCGACATTCGAACCCAGGACCTACCAGTCTCGAGCCGAAGCCCTTAACCGATAGACCACTGAGCTGGCATCCAACGGTGTTAATGTCTAACTTCAACCAATCCACGATATTGAGCGACCGTTCACCAATTGTCTTCAGTGAGATGATATCTCTACAACAGACCTGGTAGAACTCCACTGGCCACTGCTTCCCACTAGAACTCAAGGAAATATCTCTTGAAGTCAGTCACTAGTGAGCATATGATTATAGATGAGAGGGGGTTTTGTGGAGAATTTAGTATTTTCACAGTTGAAATCATGAGTCAATTGAAGCTAGACCACCATCAATCTATTCTACAGAATTATTCCCATCAATCACCTCAACAAATCAACTATCCAATAGATAAATATACATCATTAATTCATACTTCACGATGTTATACACCTCTCACTTCAACAACTATCGGTTTAACAAATCTAATTCAAAATGATGATAGTATACCAAAAAAGTCCAGCAGTTCACCTTTCAATAATAATAATAATAATAATAATAATAATAATGGTAACATTAATAGTATAAATAATATAATTAATGATAATAAACCACAATCTGCATTCTCGTCGGTAACAAGTACTTTTAATAATAATACTAATAATAATATAAGTAAGGATTTCATTAATAATAATGATTATGTAATGAAATCTTCTTTTCTATCAAATAAAGAACAATTTTCATTGAATATTACAACAGATAATATAAATAAAAATAAATTTCAATCTACAATGTCAATACCATTTACAACAAATCAATCAACTAATTATTATTTATCCTTAGCAACAATAATGAATGATGTTTTAACAAAAAAATTAATGGATACTTATTTAAATTCATTTAAATATCCAAGTCATTTAAAAGATGATCAAAGTCATTTAAAAGATGAATATAATTCATTGAATATAATGAATTCTATAAATGAATTTAATGAAATTAAAGATTTATCTATTAAATCTGAATATATTAAAGAATATAGTAATATAATGAAATTTTATACTAAAAAAAGTAATGAATTCAATCGTTTAAATGATTATGAACAGAATACTATGGAAACTATAGATGATATGATGAAAAATAATGATAATTATATGAAAATGAATAATTGTGATCAGTTTGAACAACAAAATGAAATTGTACATTGTAATTTATTACAATTAAAAGGTTTGTTATCATTTATAACTTTCATTGTTTTACTGATTATAATTTAGTAATAAATAAATAATTTAGAGGGGGTTTTGTGGAGAATTTAGTATTTTCACAGTTGAAATCATGAGTCAATTGAAGCTAGACCACCATCGAAAACCTGGAAGCATTGGACGGCCGTTTTGTCCCACTATGGGACTCTTTAACTGTGTGCATCCACGAACCCGCTCTCGCGAGCGAGATTCGAACACAGGACCTACCAGTCTCGAGCCGAAGCCCTAAACCGATAGACCACTGAGCTGGCATCCAACAGTGTTAATGTCTAACTTCTACCAGGTCTGTTGTAGAGATATCATCTCACTGAAGACAATTGGTGAACGGTCGCTCAATATCGTGGATTGGTTGAAGTTAGACATTAACACCGTTGGATGCCAGCTCAGTGGTCTATCGGTTAAGGGCTTCGGCTCGAGACTGGTAGGTCCTGGGTTCGAATGTCGCTCGCGAGAGCGGGTTCGTGGATGCGCACTGCTGAGGAGTCCCATAATAGGACGAAACGGCCGTCCAGTGCTTCCAGGTTTTCCATGGTGGTCTAGCTTCAATTGACTCATGATTTCAACTGTGAAAATGTAAATGATCCATTCTATTATAGCTCATTATTAACAGGTCATTTAACTGTAATTGAAAATTTAACCTTTAAATAGTCATCAGTTTATTTAATTAAATAATAAATTGATATTATCAGAAGGGGTTTTGTGGAGATTTTAGTATTTTATAGAGTTGAGATCAAGAGTCAATTGAAGCTAGACTACCATGGAAGGACTGGACGGCCGTTTCGTCCTATTATGGGACTCCTCAATTGGTGAATGGTTGCTCAACTTCATGGATCAGTTGAAGTTAGACATTAACACCATCGGATGCCAGCTCAGTGGTCTATCGGTTAAGGGCTTCGGCTCGAAACTGGTAGGTCCTGGGTTCGAATCCCGCGAGAGTGGGTTCGTTGGTGCGCACTGCTGAGGAGTCCCATAATAGGACGAAACGGCCGTCCAGTGCTTCCAGGTTTTCGATGGTGTACTAGCTTCAATTGACTCATGATCTCAACTCTATAAAATAAATTGATATGTTGAATATATAGATGTTACTCTTTTTAACTTCTGTTGTATGTTGGGTTTTTTTTTTTTCGTTTTAAATTTCGTTTACTCGTATTACATCAAAGCTGGTTGGGTGTTCAGAAAAAGAAAAAAAAAAGTAGATATAACTTTACAAAATATGTAACAAACTAAAAACATTAACCTTATTAACTAATCAGACTATTAAGAATAAGGAATGTTTTTCGCATGAAATCATAGGTCAACAGATGTCAATCAGTACCTTATATTGAATTCATACATGAAATACATACTACTTTTTTTTCATATTTTGCGGGTTTGTGTTAGAATAATGATAAATATGTCAACCATGTAAAGTGTCAGCAATATATATATATACATATACAGCAAGTAGACTTTTGTACCTGGTTTTTGAGATAATTTTCGACTTTGGGAAATTTACATTACCATTAGTATTTCATTTTGGTAGGATATGTTCTTCAATATACTACTGTAAATGTACTAGAAGCTAATGATTAACATTTTACTATTAGTGTGAGATACCCTTAACTATAAAAATATTTAGTCTGACTACCTATGTTGCATACTTTTTTAAATCTCAAATTGAAAAGACTTGACACTAAGTAAACTTTATTGACAATAATTCTGAAGTATTGTAGTTAGATCATTTTGTTACTTAATTATTAAGTTGTATCAATTCAAGACATTAAAAACCTTTCAGCTAAAGATAATATCAGAATTAATGATGAGACTAAAGAACATTGACGAGCCAATTAGAAGCTTTCGCGGGGTTTTCAAGGTCACGGCGGCAATTTCGCAACATGATACTTACGTACGATCGCTTTACAGAGGATTTTCGAGAAGACGTGATAATTGAGCGACTACAAGAAAAGGGATTATTGAGAAGCTCCTATACTTGTGACTGCGGTAGTCAAATGAACATTGTACGGTGTGCAGACTATCGTGATGATATTTTCTTTCGATGTTCTTCATGATGGATGAAGAAATCAGCTCGAACAGGGACTTTTTTCGCTCGGTCAAAATTAAGGTTGAGACAAATTATACTTGTTGCGAATTGGATAATAAAAGCACCGGTAACACTAGCTGCCACCTTTGCCGATGTGAGCGAAGTTTCGGCAGTTCAATGGTATGAGTTTTGCAGAGATATTTGTGCAACAAAACTGACAAGCGTACAGCAATTGTATGGAGGAGTGGGGAACATTGTTGAAATAGACGAAACAGTTGTAAGGAAACGCAAATACAACCGTCGCCGTTGTATTAAAGAAGATTGGGTATGTACCTCTTCCATAAATATACCTCACAGGTCCTTGGAATATATGATAGATCATTACAAAAAGGACATTTTTAAAGAGTCAGGAACCGGCAGGCACCAAAAATCATACCGATTATACAACAATATGTGCTGCCGGGCACTACTGTTTATACAGATGATTGGAGAGCGTACAGGTGTCTAGGTAGACTGGGATATGTGCATGATGTCGTTATACATAAGCGCCATTTCGTTGACCCTACTACTGGGGAGCACACTAACAACATAGAAGCTATGTGGTCAAGACTGAAAGAGTTTTTGAGACCCTATCATGGCTCCAGAGGCAGACTACTGTGGAGCCATATGGATGAATTCATGTACCGCATGTAATATGATTTTAGAACTTCAGAACATATATCCAACCTTTATAGGTTTTTAACTCATGTAAAAGAACAGTATCCACTTCAATTCTTTGGTTTTGTATAATAAATTTTTACTGCACACTGTCTTCTGATTGGCTAATATTTCTCAAGGTCATTTAAGATTCGTTCAAAGGTCGTCCATGTTCTTTAGTCTCGCCGAATTAATTTTTATCATGAACTTACATCAGTTGGGAAACGTTGAAAATCATGGAATATTGAATAATTATGCGGTATCAGTTAGGGTTGTTACCATATACTACTTCATATAGGATTGGATTTGGAGTATTTCGATCTCTTAACAACTATCGATCATGTTGACAGGATAATATTAACTGAATGAAGAATTACTACAACTATTTAATGGATTAGTTGACGTTAGCTTACTGCAGGAAACTCTATGTTACTCTAAGTGTAGTTACATGAATTGACAGTTGGGTTCTATCAAAAGATCTCTTGACCTTACTTTCAAATGATAGACATTTGCCTACAATGATATACATAAAAAAACATGTTTGATTTAATTTAAGTCGATGACATAATATTGTTCTATAGGAGACATCAAACTATAAATTCACATAGTAATTTAATTTAATTTATCATTAATGGACATTTTAAACGTAAAGAAATTTCTTTGAAGTTATCTATTAATAGCCACCAGTGATTTTTTGAGAAGAAATCATTGTTTACTAACATAGATAAATGCATGCTTCTATCAATTTCGATTTCGAATATAATGAAGAAGTAACAAAATTTCTTTCATTGACATTGTCTCCTACTTCATTGATCAGTTAAATCCAATTTTTTTTTTCTTTAAATTGTATTAAACAAAGACCATGGTTGTTTGTTTGTATGTGTTATACTATACCCCTTTGTATAAGGTCACAGAAATTAGAGCACATCAACAATAAAAAAAAACAGTGGAAAGAATAAATTCTAAAATATTTCCTATAATCACTTAAGAAAATCAAACTGTGATAGAGATTATTGTTGTTCTTTTGTTACCTTTCGATTTATATGGATTATTATTTCCTTTGATCATATCTACCTTGCTTCTGTTTCTCTTTTTTTTCCGTATTAATAGGTGTATCAATCAAAATGAGGTAGTTATTAATTATCTTTAACCATTTGAAGTTTCTATCATCATCATCATCATCATATTGTCTAACATGTGTTTATATATGCCTGTATGTGTGTGCGTGTGCTTAAGTACTAGGAATATAATCCGGTCATTCATTTATCCACATGGCCATTTTTCTTTAATATTAAGGCGATTTGGCTTTTAAATAAACATTGAATTAGTCAATCAGTCACCTTTTAAGACAAATAATAATTAATCTGAAGAACAAAAAGGAATTTAGTCAGGAAATATATGCAAAGCATAATTTAGGATATCTGATTCATACTTATTTCATATTGAGGAACTTTTAATCCTTAAATTAAAGTTCCATAGCATAATTGTTCTCATCTGGAAAGTAACTGATAACTATTAATTAAATAGAAATCAATTTGATGTAACCAGCTAAATATTATGTTTCAGTATCTTCTTATAACATAATGAGAGTAATTTTTAATCTTAACGAGATGCTCAAATTACTTTTTGTTTCACTTGTGAAAATAACAAGTAACTGAAGATTGGGGCCAATAATAATCACTTAGTTTTAGTCATATCATAATGATCTAATTGCCAGAAAACCACTCCAGTAGTATACATTTCAACTTACTGGCGATATGCCCGGATAGATACATTTCAAAATAGTTGTGCAATTCAAAATGGTAATAGTTCATTGTGGAACGTATGTGAAATCAAGTGTTAGAAAATGTTTGACGAATTACTGAACAAAGTACAAAAATCTCAGCTAATGATTTTAGGTTTTACAAATGAGGAAATTCAATAGTACGCTAGTTGTAGATTAACTGAGTGTAAACTATTTAATCATATGGTAGTAATTAGTATCTTTTAATGGTCTTTTAGGTGATATGACATTTGAAATGTTTTTGTCTAGCACTTACAAATGGGATAATTTGCTTTGGAAATTGAAATTATCCATGAAATTTACTTGGATTTTACAGTTTATAGACGATAAACAATTATTTCCTCCATGTTTCTGTGAGGCTATAGTTTATGGACGAACCAATCAGATATAAGACAACAGGTCTTAGATTTTGGCTCAAAATTAATTCATTCGTTTGGCTAAATAGCGTTTTGGCATTATAGCTGATGTCAGTTTATGATGAAAACTTTAAATCTAATTCCTAACCTTAACCAT